GGGGGGGGGGGGGGGGGTTGAGGTTGAAGAAGGAATATTCTAATTTGTTTTTGACAGTTACACTTCACGTGGCTTCACGTGTAATGCTAATTATCGATTGGTTATAGAGAACTGTTGCGTATGGAACAGAAGGTTATCTACGTGAAGCTCGCACCTTCTTAATGATGTTGCATTTCAGTCGTCCTACTCAACCGGTGATGTGAAAATACCACAAAACAATCATATTCATATGAAGAATCAGTGTCCACGAGAATGCCATCTTCAGAACATGGAAACAGTATGAAACTTTTGACATGAAAAATGGCTTTTGAAATATTTATGATTTGTTCAGACGAAGTCGAAGTTCCGACCAGAGAATAGGCTATATCGGACGATTGGCCCATCATTCCTTCCATTAGAAAACCGAGCATACAGACTTCGATTGATTGCTTTGGAGAAGAAGTTTAAAGGCACAATATCAAAACAATGTAATTTACAGCAAAAATTTTGATATATTGTTGAATGAAAAAAAGAAAACTTGTTCCATTCAGTTTTATAAGAGACACAGAGAGGGAGAGAGAGATAGAGAGAGTAAGAAGGGACAAGGAGAAGGGAAAAAGAAACATAAAAAGATTAATGATTGAAATGACTCCTGTTCAGTGACGGAGGACAATAATTCACAACTCATTCCAAACGAGCTATGTTGATGAACATGTTAAAGGTCTGAAACTATGGAAATTCAAAATTTGATCAATCACATCAGAGTAGATGAGAATTGTTGAGGTTGAACACATGAGAGGGCATGTACATGAAAATTAAAAAAAGAAAATTTAATGGATAAATCGAGGAATGCTGTTGCTAAATGCTGCAAACAGTTTTTCAGAAGTTGTCCTTTAAGATAGATATAAAGCCTATTACGGAAAAGCTGTAAGTTTCAATCGAATTTGTCCGATGACACACAAGTCCAATTGTCCAGAAATGGCTGAGCATTGGACTGAAAATGGAAAAAAAAATAAATGATGTAAGAACGAAAATAGGAAACGACAGAGATATGTAAACGGTTAGAGAAAAACAAAATCACAAAATAGAAGGAGAATTACAGATGAACGAAGATGTTGAACAACCGCTGCTGTATACGCTTGTAGTGAATGAAATGATTCTCACGTGAAAATGCTTGATTCACGTGAGAATTAGCTTGAATAAACAAGTCATTGAATTCTTCAACGAGTATCATTGAAGGTTTTAAGTTGTAAACTTGAAAACATGGAAACAACCAATACGTGAAAGCTTGAAGTCAATGACTTAAGCGAAATTGGGGTACTGCAAGATGTAAGCAATATGAGTGGCCTGGCATCAAAAAACCGAAATAAACATCGGTTGTTGAGAAATATTGTCAAGGATTGTGAGTGTGAGAGCAAGGTTATTGGAAAAAAAGGTTTGCTGTTGATGTGTTGTCCAAGCTTTCGGAATATGAAATGCTTAGCGCGATGCTAAGAGGATGTACCAGTAGCATAATGAATCCCGGTTTTTCCCTATTTATTTAGCTATTTTGAGTTTTTGCTGAATTCTCCTACTTGTTTGAAGGTTGCACCACTCCACACCCTTGTTTCTCTTTTGCTCTCACCCTCTGACTCTTTCTGAATCATCTCCCATGCTTCTGATGAATTATTAGAGCAGTGCGAATTAAAAAAAAATTTATTGTAAAAATAACTTCATAGCTGAGTGAGAGAAAATATTACAAAAAAGAATTAGCTAAGAAGATGTTGTTGTTTGGGACATTCAGTTCTCGGCGTTCATGTACTTCTCAGCAAGAGCCTTAACCTTGGGGTCTGAAATTGAGAGCAGGTTAGACGAGTATCTCAAAGAATTAACATACTGGTGAAGAAACCGGTGAGGATTGGGAAGTGGGTCTTGAATTCTTCCTTGGAGGCATCAGAAAGCTTGTTGAATTCTTCGATTCTCTCCTTGGCGACCTTCTTGAGATCAGCGATGGTTGGCTTCTTTCCGGCGAGGTATTCGGTGTGGTACTTGCGGGCAGTGGCGATGACCTAAGAATTAAAAGTAATTTGGATTCCCCAGCTATTCAGAATGTTAAGAGCTTTACACTTGCAAAAGTTATAGAGAGGGCAAAGGTTTAAGTTGGAACACAAGAAGAACTCATTAAGTTGATAAAGGATGATTCAATCTGGATGAACACCTGTTGTATTAAATGCAAAGGTTAAAGTTTCGAGTTCTTTCAATGAACTTTCAAGATAAGTTCTTTTCTCTTTTTGAAGTCTTGCTCTCACGCTTGTTCAACTTTTTAGATATTAATTTGAATGTTGAGCTTTACTCACCTTGTTGACGAATTCTTGTCCTTCAGCTCCGAGCTTCTGAACCTTCTCGGCAACGATGGCTTGGAGCTTCTCGGCCTTAGCGTGGAGTTCAGGGGACTTTTCCTTAAGGGCAGCAAGGAATTCGTTTTCGTTCTTGAATTCTCCGTGTCTCTTGGCAAGCTCCTTAAGGATATCTCTCTCTTCTGGGGTGATGCTCTTGAGGTGGGTGGAAACTTCCTCTGGGATGAGAGCTAAAAAGGGAGAATTAGGGAGGGATGAAGGTATATAAGATCTTACATTTGAATTCCTCTGGAATGTCGTTGTAGCTTTCGATGGGGTAGCAGAAAGCAACGGCGGCCAAGACGGCGACGATAGCAAGTTGACGGAACATCCTGTAATTATTAAAAGTTTAATAAGGTAATGCTCACAAGAGTAGACAGAAATATAAGACACTGTTCAAGGAAGAAGAGAAGAAATGATCAGACAGTCTAGAATGCTCAGCTTCAGTCTCAATAAGGCATAGGGCTTCAGATCCAAATCCTTATCTGCAGACTGGTGGAAGAACAGAATTGGCATAATACCATTTCTAGACTGCTGCTCAGCTTCTTCTGCTCAGACGATTCTAGGCAGATTTGGTGTAGATGAAATGAACTGATGGTACCGCTGGTGACCGCGCGCATTTATACAGAATCCTGGGAAGGGGAGGAGCCAACCACTGAGGGACAACAGCAGGCGCTGGGCAGATGGATCACGAGGGATTCAATTGTCTCTTTTACTATCTTTTTAACTCTAATTCTCTTTGTTTTGCTCAATGTATGAGAGATAAAGACCACAAAATTCAAAGAAAGCACAGAGAAATTGGTCAGAAAAGACATAAAGATGGAGAGTAACAAAGAAACTGAAAAAGAGGGAAGCAGAAAAGATAAAAAGAGAGTTTTGAGAATATTTTGAAAAATCAAGAAGAGATAAGCTTTTCGTTTGAGATTGCAAAGCTTGATAGGTGCAGGTCAAGAGAGCTGTTGAGCTTGAGAGAGGCTCGAGAGTTGAATGTTAGGAAGATGGAGTGAAAATAAAAAAGTTCTAAAAGAGGCAAAGTTGAAGCTCTGTTACAGCATTTTGTAATTTTTCATAATCCCTCTGGTAAGCGATCTTTGAGAAATCGTGAGCGCAACAGAGCTTACAAAGACAGAAGGTTAAGAGAGAGAGAGTGGAGAAGAACAATGGAAATAACCTTGGAGTAAGAGAGAGAGAGAGATTGACAGAGAGAGGGTGATCATTGTAACCCTTCGTAAATCCATATTAACTATTCATTTACGGTCTTTAATTACTAATTATTCATTTGTCATTCCAGATTGATTACACGCAAATGATTCATCTCATAGTCGAAGAGAGAGAATAGTAAATTTGAGTAATTTTTCATTCTTCATGGAGCTATTTAGGGTTCTTTCTTCAAATCTCTTTGTTGTCGTTTATTCATTTGCATATGTCTCTTTGTTAATTCAGTCAATATTCATAAGAACAAAGATGCTTCTTCATTACCAAATGTTTCTTTTTGTGGTCAAAATGAGGAATAAAGAAGAGATAAATAGATATCTTTCATTGCAAATCCCTTCTCTCTATACCGTCAATTCTCTTTCTCTCTCTCTTTCTCTATCTCTTCCTCTCTCTAACCTATCATCCTTACCTTCCTTCTTCTTTTTTCTTCTTCCTTCTTTCCATTTATCTCTCTGTCTCTCTGTTTCTATATTTTTTCTTCCAAAACCATATGGCAATAAGACAAATGAGACGAATGCAAGAGATAAAGCTTAGACATGAAAACTTTTCACGAAGAGCTCATCTCTTTAACCTGAAAGTGCAGACAAGATTTCTTCTTGGCAACTCTTATCATAAGAAGTGTACGGATGATACTTTTCCACGTTTTTCCAGGAGGATATTTTGAGAATCAGCTTAGTCACTGTTTCTTTTGTAATATCAATATTTCAATTGATCCCAGGAGAATTGTTTTCCTCCTATTTATAAGATGTCATCGTCGGTTCGCCTTTCATGCTCTAGGGCTTTTCCATTCTCTTTTCATGTAATCAGTAATAAATCTCTCAACTAAGGATCTCAAAGTTAACATCGGTCGTTGTCTTCTTTAGTCTTTGCACAATTTATGCTTATGTCTTTATTTGGATTGACAAGATAAGAACGCTGATGAGTCTAAATGCCCAGCGACCATGCAAGTAATCTCTGAAGAGTTTTTCAAAAAGTCTTTAGAGGTTTAAGACCAGTATCGCAGTTTTTTCATCTTTAACGACGGAAGACAAATCCATTTGTTAGAAAACTGAACAAAAAAAAGTGAAAAAGAGAAGTTTTGGTTATGGGAAATGTTGACCATCTGGGTTGAGAGACAAGAAAAACAAACGTCTGATTAGAATGTCATGATGTGATGTGTTGAGAATGGAACAGAGAAGGTTCAATATGAATACTCAAACTTCTAAATATAGACAATAGTTCTATTAATTATATAAACTTTCAACTGTCAAATGATACTTCAGTTTACACAATTGACTCAAACATGTCCATGTAAATGGAATTTGGAATCGAATGATATTCTATCTGTCAGATCTAACTTCTCAATTGCTCTCATTGGTCATAATCTCTCTTCCCTTCAATCTGTTAGGGGTATTGGAAAGTTTTATTTTGTTTTCTTTCTCAAACAAACATACGCACACCACAAGCTGCTTGAAATTGTCTTGGACTATTCCATCGACATGGTTTGATGAGTCAATCAACTTCCCGTTCTCGACCAGCGAGCTCAATATGCCTTAACAATATTCGGAAGATCAGAAGAATCTTGTCCAAAGAAAAATTACAGCGAAAGATGTCCTCAACTTTTTTTAAACTAAGGCCATTAGCCCTTGATTCCACTTTTCATCTTTCTTTTTTTTCAATTTTATCTTCAATTTCATTGAGCTTGAAAGATGACTTCAACACATTTTAAAAAAGTAAAGGTCCGTATCAATTTCAGTTGCGGATACGGTAACAATGAGATTTGTTAATTTGGTGGATGGAAGATCATTCAATTTCTTTTCGGTTAGATCATGTGGCCCTTTCATCTGTTGAGTTGAGTCTATTCCCTTACCAAAAAAAAATTTAAAGAAAAGAATTACAGTAAGCAAGTGAAACATCTTGTTCCTCAAATGACACATGGGCTTGTTAAGAAAACAAAAAATGAACAGAAATCCTCTTTCTCTTATCCCGCTGTCTTTGCGTCGTTTTTTTCATGATTTTCTGATCTTTTGTTTTATCTTTTCTTTCCTCATAATCATTGTTAAGCTTTCTCTCCGTCAAGTTTCAATGGCCTGACCGTTTTCTGGAATATGGCGTGACCTCCTTGCTCTCATTTGTGCCGTCCAATGAGAAGGATATAGCTTTCGTCAAATTACCATTATATCCAGCTGTCTATCTATATCCATCATTTCTTCATATCGTTTTCCCCTCTTTTTCATGAAAATGAAACAAAACTTCTCTTTTCAACTAAAAATTAAAAAGAAAATGACAGTTGTCATACGCGCTTAATACCATTCGTTAACATCTTTTCCTATCCTTTTCTAGTCGAGGACATCAGGACAACTGTTATTCGAGAATTCTTCTTTGTGAGGAAGATTGAAGCAGCTGCAATACAAATATTTCGAGGTATCTTTTTCAGAATTTCAGATTGAAGTCAGATCTGCAAGCCTGATTAATTGCATTCGAGCTTAATCTCGAGTATTAGATGACTGCAAGTTCAACACCAACCGTTCCTCACGGAAGCCGACTCAAAAATAAAATTGTTTATTAGCATAAAACGTTCCGACTAAAACTAAAATTAGCTCAATATCACAGTATAGCTAAACACGTGTTAATTATCAGATTGAGATCAAACATGAATGATTTCGAAAACTCTTTTTGAGATCATGACTAGAAGATATCTCCTGGTCGGCGTTCAGGACTTAGCGATGGAGCACTCGCCGCGTTATCATGATTCAATCGAGATGCATTAAGTAATATTTCTGTAAATAAAGATCAATTTCACAAAACTTAGCAGAAAAAAAACCTTCTTGAGTGATTGTTGGGCTAAACAAATCGGCTCCCAGCAAACGCGATCCAGATGTTCTGAAAACATTTTAAATGAAACAAACAGATTGGTGTTTGATCGGTTACGAGAGAACTGTCACCGATTGTCCGGCATTAACAGAGGTGTTAGAAGCATTGTGAGCAGCACTGCCAATTTCTTTCTTTTCAGATTCAGGCATTTTCTTTTGGTTTGATCCCATTATACTCTCACGATCCTCCTCTGAAAAACAAAATTCACATAAAAATGAGACAAAGAGACGAAAAAAATAACCATACCGTACATAGAAAGATCTCCAGCTCGCTTTCTAAGAATATCCGCATGTGCCATTTCAGTTTCTTGGATTACAGCTGCTCTAGCGTAGAAGTCTTTACGATCAGCCTGGAAAAGAAAAAAAATGTAAACTGTGTTTTTTAAGGGAAATGATTCACTTCCTCCAATTTTCGATGTTTCTTCACCATCGTTGTTTGCCGCTTATGTTCTTTCGACAACTGTATTTGTTTCACGAACAGCAACGTGTACACGATGAACATAACACTGTCAAGGACGGAAAAGTGTATATCACTTGAAAAGATTAAAAACATACACCAAGTTTAAATAAATCACGAATATAATGCGAGTCGTGTGATCATGACGAAGTTTGGCAAAGAACCGGCTGACTGATTTCGCTACTTCTTTTTGACTCTTAGGTATATGTGCACGGAATGCTACCTTTTCGCCAAAAATATTGGTCGAAACAGAGCTCTGTAATTGTTAAAAGGAAAATTGATGCAAATAAATAGAACAAACGGACATCTCCAGTGATAAAGTCTTTTGCTTTTCCAAAAGCGTTAGATAGAGCACGTTTACTATTTTCCACCCATGCTGGCACAGTGAAGTCCTGTCCTAAGAAGGTATAAATGTATTTCTAAAAAAGCATAACACGTGTCTGTCATTTCAAATCTCTTTGTCTACCTCTTGATTAGTTGTTCGTGCTGCTGCGGCGGCAATCGTCAATGATAGAATTAATAGAACTGATAATTTCATGATAAAATGAGTTTTTCTAGAACTCTTACCAGCCTGGCAAAAAGCTGAAAAACTTACAAAAAACCGTTTCCTATACTTTCATTAACCATTTTTTGTTTTTGGCGCCAATACAGTTATCACTAGAGCATATACTTGTTCGTGAAAGAAACGAATAATGACCATACACCGAGTAAATGTCAACTAACGCTGAGCAGGATAAATCAACTAATTATTCAACTAATTTAACCGTTAGTCGACCAATTTTTTGAAATCTCCCAAGATGTTTAGTAATTTGGTTGAATATTACAATTCATTGATTTCTAGTCGAAAAGATTTCGGAGTCATGGAAATCAACCATTCCTCTCTTCTTTTGTTCTGAACTCTTCGCTGGGCCTTACTCGAGGAAAATAGCATGGTTCTACCAGTATAGTTTGTGGAGTCACATCAAGTTGCGACATATCCATTCACTGCCAAAGGATGTATAAGAAGAATCGTCCAGCAGTTCAACGAAAATAAAATTCCAAGAATCGTCAACAGATGATAGACTGGTGGACTTTATAGCTAAAACGTATTCTCCAGCTGATATAATGGAAAACGAAGCATTCCGCTATTTTGCTCAACAATGTTCTAGTGGATATGTGTTCCCAACTAGGAAAGTAATGAACCAGTTAGTTATGATTATACGTATCTTGCTCTAGTCTAGAGCAAGATGCGAAGTATTCTAAACTGGAATTATGATCGATTTCTTGAACATTGTGGTTTTTTAACTTTGATGTTCAATAATTGCTCTTACTCTCGTCAGGTTTTATCGGTTCCACTAGTGAATTGATATCAAGAAACATGCGAGAGAAGTTTGTTTCAACAGGTATGATTAACTTATTTAAACTCCGCGCGAAACGCGCTTTTTGTGATTTTTAAATATCATTTGAGAAGAACAGCATTTGAGAACACTTATATGCCACGATTCTATTATCTCCTATCAACACTTCTTTTGTCAAACCTTTTCTATCATTATGTTCAAGTTCAACTAAAGTTGTAGGTATGTGTGCGAATGATGACCATCATCATGTACTCATACTTCTTATATGGATGTTCTTCTATTAATCCTAACCTGCATTTCGATAAACAACAACCGATAGATCATGCATTCACATGGGCTATCGATGATTTTGGCCAATAAGTCTGATGATTCTGAATTCGATTAAATGTAAAATCGCTTTCTCACATTATTTTGTTTTTTTCGCTTCAGTTTATGATACAGCTGGTACGTTTAGAGTACCTTCCTTAAACTTAATGTCTTCAGATAAGACTAAGGTTGTAAATGTCTTCATAATTCATATTTTCGTTCATATAATTATCTGAAAACAAATAAACTGAAGCCTTCAAACGTTTCTGAAGTGAAGTGTATTGGCGTGTTTTGAGAATTATGTTGCCTTTTTGGAATGAAAATTTTTCATACGAGAAAGCGATTGTTCTTTCAAAGATTGAAACGTTCTGACATAGAAAATCGAATTAATTTTTAACCAAACTGAGTGTAATCGTCCTTCGCATTCGAAGTTGTGGCTGATAGTTCGTCTAACAATCACATCTTTTCTTTGATCTCTACTGATAGTTGTTGATTCAAAAAGAGACGATTTGAATAGAAATATGAGAAACAGGAAGGGAGAAGAGAAAGAGAGAGAAAGAGATAGAAGTCCCTAATTCTATGAAATTCGAACATGCTCAATTTTCAATTCGTTGGGCAGGTTTCGCAAAACTTAAAAAGGATCGAAATGACTTGTTATGATTTCAACCATTTTAATTCTTTTGTTTGATGTTTACTTTCATCCTTTCAGTTTGACTTCAACATTTGATCTGAAACTTCTTTGCACTTCTCATGGCTGGCGGATTCTCTGTAGTTATCATGTTACTTATATGTCGTCTATAACTGGTTTCAGATTCAAACTACGAAAACTTCGAGAGAGCCTCCTCAGCAATTACCATCAGTGTCCACTTACACTATCTTATTAACTCTCCAGGCATGTATTGGTGGCTTATTGTTCGGCTACGACACAGGAGTAGTTTCGAGGTATAGCAATGACCAGTCTGGTTCTAACTTCTCCGTATTACAGCGCAATGCTTTTTTTACCATCAAATAAGGGAATGAACCATCTTAGTACATCATGGCAAGAACTGATTGTAAGTATTACTCCAGGAATGGCTGGAATCGGAGCCTTGTTGGCAGGTTTTCCTACCACTTGAATGAACTAGAATATATAATCCATTTTAAGGTCCAACATCAGATAGATATGGTAGAAGAATGATAATTCTTCTTGCTTCTTCCATATTTTTTTTCGGAGCCTTGATATGTGCTGCCGCACCAGAACGGTATACACTATTGGCAGGCAGAATACTCCTTGGAATAGCGATCGGTGATTGCGAAAAAGATGAATTACAGAGTAATTAAATTTGTTTAAAGGTTTCGCTTCGATGATTATACCAGTTTTCATAAGTGAAGGCTCGCCTTCTCATATCCGTGGAACTTTAGTGACCGTTTACCAGGTTAATCTTCTATCTAATGTTATAAAAGCTATAACATCATTCAACATGCGAAAATCATCTCATCGCTTTGATTTCTAGTTTATGATAGCATTTGGATTTATTGTTGCCAATGCTTCTGCTGCTCTGTTCGCTCTTTATAAGCCCTATACAGTGGGATGGCGATTAATGTTCGGTTTAGCAGCTGTACCCAGTGCTTTACAAGTAATTTGTTTTGTAACATCACATATTAATTATGGGAACCATTTGAGTTTGTGGGATTTCTTTTCTTACCAGATACTCCGAGATATCTCGTTTCGAAGAATAGAAAAGAAGAAGCACGTGAAGTTTTAGCCAAAGTTTACAATGGTAATGAAGAGTGGATCAATTATGAAATGTCGGAGATGGAAATAATTAGACAAGAGGAAGAGGAGCATTTGCAACAGACCGGAGATTCTTCTGTTCTAACTCGGGTTCTGCAAACACCACATGTTCGTAAAGCGCTCATTCTGGGATGCAGCATGCAGATGTTTCAGCAACTTCTGGGGATTAACACTATACTGTAAACTATTTTGAAGCTAATTAACTCAAACATCTTTGATTGAAGATACTACACAGGAACGATCATCCAATCGGCGGGTGTCAAGGATAAAATTACAACAATATGGATATCTTGCGCCATTTCCGGTATCGAATAACTTCTGAAACTCAAATAAGTTTTGAAGTTAAGCGGTCCAAGCTGTAGGTACTATAGCGCCCATGAAGCTGATTGAAAAGCTTGGTCGTCGACCAATTCTTTTGACTTCTATGGCAGGAGTAGTCATAACCTTGTGCATGATGGGAGGATCTTTCCTATTATTGAACAAGGTTCAGTGTCATCTCAGATTATCTCTGTAATTATTCTTGATGAAGGATTCTCCACCTTTGAGTCCCGAAAACGCTTTCCGAGGAATAGACTGGAAAGATTTGAATAATAACTCGACACTATTGAAATGCAGTTCCTTTAGGTTTGAGAAAACAAAAAAAAAGGAAATTAAATATTGTTTTTTAAGCAATTGTGACTATTGTGTTACTTCAAG